ATACGTAGTAATGAGGAAATATCTCACTGCCTTGGAGATACTCCAACGCAGTACAACCAAAAATGTCAAGCGTCTGTATAATTAACCGTATGAACGAAAGCTAAAAGTGTTCGGACTCTTCCGCGGACAGTATCGGCGATTCCGCGGGGACATCGTTTTGACTTACCAGATTTTGTGAGATCTCAACCACACGATCCGCTACTTGCTAGAGTTCAGTCACTACAGAAATGTGAGAGACCACCAGCAAAAGCAGGCAGAGCAGCACGCTCCTTTAATAAGCAGTCGGAATTTCTTTCCCATAGGCGTTTGCAGAATGTGGAATGCACTACCGGAATTTGTTATTTGTGCTCCCACGCTTGTAGGGTTCAAAGCTCGAGTTGATCGTGCACTTATTTCACTGCATCATCTTACAGGACCTACTACCCATCGATAAACACAAATGTATGCAAGAGATTTCACTGGCCGTCAAATCCCGGATGTCGTTCCACTTCTTCACCTCATGTAAGTGTACACCAGGCGGAGACACGATATTTACTCAAATCCCATTTGCCGTTATTCCTTGTGGATGCACCCTGGATTTGCAGCTTACACTACGTATACATCAGTGAGTTCACTGGTGTAAACCAGTTTATAAAAAATAAAATAAGTCAGACGGAAAGGATAAGTTGTCATCTTTAATGCTATAAACAGATAATTTTCCAAATACCTTATTCTTATATTTCATGGCATGAAATCGATGATGCACTGGAATAATGATCAAATGTGAGGACCGAGCAAGATGTTGTTGAAAAAGTTAGTGCTAAATATGCTATCTCAAAAATTTTCTCCGAAGAATCTTGGTAAAAATAAAACAAGAGTATTGCTGTCTACAACGATTAAGCTGAACACAGAGTTTACTAATACAGATTTGTTATAAATAAGTTACAGAGTGTAAATTAGCAAGTATATACCATTTGAAACATACCACAAGGGACTGAGGCAAAACAGCCGAGGGCCAAATCTTTTCAGGAATGTGACCAAAAATTGCCCAATGCTCCGCAGTAGTGTTTAGACATCCTGTGCTCCTTGCACCACGTAGTGCACCACCAGTACGAGCTGCTTTCGGTCCATCAGTTGGTAACAACAGTGTCGAGTTAGTTTTGTCTAGCAGACTACCCTTTTCTCTATGCGCTTTTGTTGAATGGAAATGGGAGTGGGACTTTTTCACATCGGATGGTCTCATCACTCCATGGATGCGTTGTTTTTTGGCTGAAGTGAGACATAAGCAGTTGAAACCGAAAGTGGACACATTGTCACCAAAAAGTAGAATCGTGCTTAAGGTCACGGTTTCTGCTCAAAAAGAGACTAAAATCATCGGCTAGATTTGAGACGACTTCTTGGTCGACAAAACTAGGCATCATTTCACAAATGCATAAATAAGCGCTTAAAACTAGCGTCATTCGCCCCTGATAAGAAAACATGCTGACCATGGACTTCGGAACTTACCAAGATACTGAGGAATGCCACATCACAAGACTTCGTACACTTGCTGTGTGCATGAATAACGGATGTTGATCAATTCCATTGCATGTCTTAACTTTTAACTTTAGTACCCTCGAGGCGCACAGAGTTTAACGGGACTGCAGTCCTCTCCACGTACGTTACCACACCTCGTCTTTATGGTTGAAGTTGTGCATAGTAAGCTCCAAGCTCTTTCTCCTGTATTTAGCAGTCATACTGGTCATTCTTGTCCGTGTGGTTTGATGACCTTAGTCTCTGAATTGTAATAGGAGGTTCACGTGTTCTACCTTCGGAAATCAGATGGAATTTATAATTTCACCGACTGCCGAAAAAAATGAAATTGTTGCTCATTGCTTGTCTGCAGGTGCAGTGAGTTGTTTGATCGCGTTGTGTTGATAATTAAAACCAATGGCCTTTTCGTTACCCTAGTGCCCCATTGTGACAATTTATGGTCTCTCGGTACTAACAATGCGGCATTCGCGAGGAACCTAAACTTAGGCCGATTCCTTGAGTGATATATTTGTGATCGGCCAGAATCTCTCGGAAATCTTTTAGTTAGCAACTACAATGTCGTTCTCAACTTCGCACGTTATTCCAGTCAACATTCGTCGGTAATTCCAACCCGCTTATACCAGGTACCCGGTCGCAGACTAATTGCAAGGATGCTAGCTTTTATGTCCTTATTGGTGGACATTATATGAAAGTAACCTGACACCACCTATGTAAAGGAGTTGAACTTCAAAGGACCGCTTACATACAGGTGCTGGCTAATGCCCTACGCACAGTGACCGAGTTTCTGTAAAGTTAAAGTATGTGTTACAAGCAGAAGCAGTAAAATGGCGCATAAAATCTTGAGACAATCAACGAAGTCATTGATAGTGACGCAAAACTCTTTTCGACTACATACTGGATATAATTCATCTTCTGTGGACAAATTTGAAGCATTAAACGTCTCTGTACAAATCGGACTTTGGTCTGCTAAGACAACTGTTTTACGGTCCGAATCGATGAAAGTTAACTCTCCGTATGTTTGAAAGTCGCAGCCATTATGTTCATTCCTCTAAGAATGCTTGAACGAAGGTCCTGACTCAGCTTCCTATTTGATGGCACATACAAGTGCGAGATTAACTTACGAACTCTTGCAATGCACTACAGAGTGTCAACAGAGATACCCGCATCGGGTGTCATCTGTCGGATAACATCGCCAACTGAGAGGCTGTGTCACTTCTGGCTTGCCCGCATCGTGCCAGGTGTGCTTACGTTTGGTAGAATCCGATGTCGGTTTCTGGTTAATGCAACACACGGTATTCTCTACACAATCAACCGTAATAGAACTTTTCCGGGGTAGTGACGAGTGTCAGCTTGGGTCAGCAGCACGCAACATAATTAATTGGAGGTCACAGGATAGAGGCATGTGAAGCTTGTGTTGCGACAGTATACAATTCTGTGTGGTTTTGGTTTGTAACCCGTTATAAATGGGCTCGCTGTGCTAACACAATTGTAGAGATAAAAGGTAGACCTAAGAAACCAACCTATAATTTTGTGACGATTATTCCATTCTTTACAGAACGTAAAATAGTCAATATGATATTGTTCACAAATAACTCTTGATATCGTCGTTTGTTTCAATAAGTGTTTCAACAATTTATGTTACCACTGTAATGCTAAAATAAATTTTTGATTCTAGCTGGTGCTCCGATTTTGTTTTTGAACTGTCTTTTACTGCATGTGAGGCCTTCATTATCTATCATTTGGCATTTAACTGGATCCCAAGAGCAGTTACCCAATCTGATAGCCCATAGGACACATTTCCTTGCTTTCCTACACCTGTATAGTTAAAAAACAGGGTCTTATTTTGGCTATGCATCCATGTATTGCTTTTTTAGTTGTCTACTGCCTCGGAATATTCAGGGAGAAATCCATGACTGCCTGTGTTGTCTCTAAAACAGTTTGACTGAATGTTGGTGTTTGGGGAATCGTAGGGTAAATTTCGAATTGAACAATCAAATAATCACTTGCATGCTTAGGAAGCCGATATAAAAATAATCGAAAACTCTACCACCAAGGCACCAGTCAGCAGTTACAACAGCTAAATCGGACGCCTAGAAAATACATGTGATTCAACCAGTCCACACTGCACAGGCCTGACTTCAACTAGTAAAGCAATATGATTTGCAGGATTCCGGAATCTAATAAAAACCCCTGTAGCATTTCTACCGATAGATGAGAGAAATGTATGGGCCAGTAAAATAATAAAAGTAGCGTTTCCAAGCTCACTTGTTCGCGCTGTTTTAAACGCGAGGAGATGGTTAAAAAGGTCGCTGTCCATAGATGCTGTAAAGTAAACTTTAGAAATACAAATTTCGAATTGCAGCTATAATCAATTTTTAGTTCGCGAGTATAAAAGATACAGATGCCACAACGAAATTTAAACGGAACAATAGGTCTTATCCCATTGAAGTATAAAACCAAAACCTACTTTTTCTACTAGCACCTGTACTCAATTACTGCACTTTAATCTTATGTTTCTAGCACAAAGTCATTTTTTAGCAACTTAAACCGATAGGGTACACTAACTGTGCATTGTTCTTTGGTGCGGCACAGTAGCTGAGGTGCTCCTCACCTCCAGCTAACGTGTATGATGATGATGATGATGCATTTTCGAAGGGATTGGAGCTGGTACAATTCTACCTCCATTTCTGAAAACTCCATAAACATCTCACCTAACAGATACAATGGATACCAGGGCTGCGAAAACGCCTGGGGTCAGCAATCCTAAAAATTGGGACAAACTTACGAAGCATTGCGGGTTGCTCTTTGCCACGAAGAAAGAACTCTGCGCGAACCTGGTCCCTTGGAAACAATGGATTTGTGTCTGGCAACTGGGCGAGAAAATGTTCCATTTTCCAAACTTTGCTCATCGGTTCGCAAGATTCGGCATTGCTTCGTTTGAACTGGTCAAATAGATCCACTATTTTTCCGTGACTCGCGGGAACCGATGTTGGGCTCCGGACGGTGGAATGTTCATTGTAATTTAATGTTAGGAGAAGAGCTATCAAGAATGGACTTTCGTAGCCTGTTATAAAGAGATGGTTTAGGGGTATGACGGTGATATACATCTACCGTCATTTCGCATGAGTAACAATTAGGGTTAAAAGAAAGTCAGTTTTCAGTCACGTAGGCATCAACATGTTCAAAGTCCTGGACGCGATCGGCCGGTATTATAGGTGCGTATACTCTCGTACCCGGTGTTGCGGAACCAAATATGGGGCCGATTTAATGTACACTGAAGTGGGTTTCACCTCTTTAAAACAACATGGGTAGCTAAAGTGCTGTGGATGTGTAAACCTTTTAACCGGACCTTAACTAATACCGAGTGTTGATTCATCACGATTTGGTTATCAGTTAAATCTCGACCTCTTCTATGGACCCGTGAAGTATCTGTAATGATAAATACTTAGAGACAGTCGCGTCTGTGGTAGGATAATGGGATCCCGTAGTTAAAATGTTGCTTAAGAACTGCTTTTCTAAAGGCACAAAACTGAAAATATTCTTATGTGACTTACAGGATGCAAGAAATCAACTTGGTACACTTATTTTCCACCTAATTAACGAGAACTCTCAGTTTTTGTGGTAATGGGCGAGTTGTTGGGCTAAGTAACTTAGAGGTTGCCTTCTGTCTCCAGCCATAAGTCTTAAAGTTCATATTTTGTAACGCAACATGTGTGCTTATGAAATCGGGTACTAGCATACGCACAAGTGTGGATCAATCATGCAATCTTGCATCCATAGCAGACATCTGTTTGCGAAGTTGGGCTTTAAAGTGCCCACCAAGCGTATGGATTGCGGCACGCAACCTCTGCTGGGACCTCTATTTGCCTTGAGACAGATCTGATTAATTCCCATCACTGCTCGTAGAAAGTAGAAGTCACGATTAAACTTCACACAATAATGTGCCTCGACGGGGAATCGAACCCCGGTCCCACGAATTTCCGGTCCGCTGCTCTACCACTGAGCTACTGAGGGCTGACATAGCGCACCAAGCAGAAGTCATGTATTAAATTGCGCACCTAATCGTCAGCCCTCGGTATCTCAGTGGTAGAGCAGCGGACCGGAAATTCGTGGGACCGGGGTTCGATTCCCCATCGAGGCAGATTATTGTGTGAAGTTTAATCGTGACTTCTACTTTCCATGAACATTACACTACTCACAAACATCCACAAGTTATCCCATCATTGCGTTTGCAACCTAAACAAAAGGATTCGATGTTACAATCTTCCAATGGTGCAACTAGCTGCATTTACGGCACGCGGTCACTATGGTATTTTAGAGCACGAATTGTCATTGTCTTACAGGTTGAACGAGAACGCAGATTACAAGTCCATCAAAAAGCACAAATAAATACTAATACGAAGTGCTCTATCCTTACACAACATACGTTATGGGTTTTTTCTATTGGAATTTCTATTAGACTGGCCCAGTAAACGCCAACTTTCACTAGGAGCGTTCCAATCTGTATACGTCCAAATCGAGATGTACAGCGCCGGAAATCAGTTGGTGAAGAATCGCATTTCAGGTTGTGTTTTGGTTATTTCTTCCTCTCTAACCCTCGGAATTTAAAGACTCATGAAACTAAAGACGATTGTAATGATAAATTCATTGTGGTGGAAAAGATCAAAATAATGCTTCAGTTAATCCAATAAATGATGTACTGCACTGAACTAAACTATCCTTGAACGTATACCATGTGATAGCAGCAATGCAAAAACGGTCTAAGGTTGCGTTACTGCGTGTCTAGAGAAAGTACTATTGTGAGCTACCTGTCCAGTACACATTAACACAAATTGCTAGACCAGAAACACAGTAACAGGCTTCAAATTGTCCGATTCCCCAGTGTCCAGCATGCTCATCTCGCTTCAGACAGCGATGTAAATCGTGGTCCGTTATGTGACAAGTTGAGGCCTAGCCAGCAGTATACGCCCACCTTTACAATTGTCACGGTCTTTCGAGAAGCGGTCACAAGACCCGCATAAATCAAACCTCCACTTAATGGACGCCCGCCCGCATGATACATGTTGCGTTTGTGAATAGAGAGCGCCTGTCCCGATTTAACGGCAACCTTCATTCGCGTATAGCTTGGCCCTATTTGCTAGAAGCTACGCATAAATATGCATATATTCTGTTGCGGTTGATATTACAGAGACGATTGGTTTTTGAAACGCGTGCCATCAACCACATAGTTTGCGATACATACACAAAGACATATCGCAGAATTGAAGTTCGCTGTACCAGGCATTGATAAGTTTCTAAGCGAATACTGAAAAGCAGCCCAAGTTCCAGTCTCGAAGCTCCACCCATTTACTTTAGGTAAACAGGAGTAACTGCTAATTTATCGTAGGCTTTCTTCGGTATCTTTTGGCAAACTTCTTCGTAGCTATGCTGATTTAGAAAATCGGTGTCGCAAAAAGCAATAAAAGATATATCGATATACCCTTACACCGTTGAAAAATAGCTTAAGTCGCTGACTCATAGGAAGGAAGTAATGGATTACTGTTCGGGCAAATTTAGCAAATTTGCGCTACTGACCAATCCTAGTCAGTTAAAATGAATTCCCAGGACCATTACAGAAGTGTGGTGGCTATGCAAGTGCGGATGACCGTGATGAACCCTCCAAAACAACGAGATTAACATTAAAGTTGACGATCACATTTCCGCTAAATTTACTATGTGCTAAAACAATGGAACATAATTTGACTGCCGCCCAACGCTCCTCAGACCCAAATTCAAAATGTCACCATGGTGTGCTAAAACAATAAAGGCCTGCCAAACGTTTCAGTCATAATTTTGACTCACCACGTAGCATAACTTCTTTCTGGTTCCCCTCCACATTGCTGTAACGAACCCAGATCTGTACATCCGTCTTTCTCTATCATTAAGGACAAAAAGGGAGGTGTTGGTGAGATCATATGTTAAGAATTCCTGAGCGCTTGACCTAAGTGCGGCACTCAAATCTTAAGCAGAAGTGCTGAACTTTTCTAGCAGGTACATCGTAAAAATCAATGAATACCATCCGTTGACTTTGATCAACTCCCTGTCTGGTCTCAGATTTTAATGTTAGATTTTAATATCATGGCAGTCCGCAATAGATTGTCGGAATGCATAGAAATCGTGTACGAGAGAAGCAGAGGGCTACTTTGACGATTTAGCATGCCGACTTAAGCAAACCCTCAATGCAACGTACAACTCGCAACTTCCCCTTTCCTGTATAATCCTAAAGCTTCCCACTTATTCTTAACTGACAGAACATCTGTTTGAAGAGCATTGCCAAACTTTACACCTTCTAGTTCTTCGAAATGCAAATCGGCATTCGTGAAAGTTAGTGATTCCATACATGCGCGCCCTTTTACGTATCCGGATGTACAGAACACGCACCTGGCTTCCGTCAAAAACAACTAACTTGGTGCGTCAAAGGCCCAGCTCCCGAAATTCGTTTTAATATGATGTTGAATTGATTCCCCACTTCCTTCGTCACTTTTTCGTGAGTTAAATTCTAATGGCTGGATGCCTTTCAGTCTCTGACGCTCTACGGGGCTACAGTAAAAGTGTATGCTCCATAAGTGGCTGCTTACTGACGTTGTCCCTTTGATTTAGTCCCGTGTTTTTGATTGCAACTTATGATAAGATCGTCGCCATTTTGCGCCATCTACTGCCGCACCAATGATGTTCTTACAAACATTCCGTCTGTATGATACGAAGGTAAACCAAAATGTAAAGCCACCTTTAGGACAGATATAGTTATCAACATTGCAACATGTATCATACATCCACGGCGTTCTCGCTGTGCGCCTTAACCATCCAACCGCAGGTTCTTTTGCTTTTGATTTCTCCGATGCCTGACTAAGTCGACTTTACTTAATACCAATAACTATGGTTGGCTATTGCTACCAATCAGTAAATTTATTCTAGAGTACCAAAGGCTAAAGTGTCATCGGGAAGGACAAAACTAAAGTATTATTACGGTGTTCGACAAGGTTAACCCAAGAGTCGGCTTTCATGCACCCGTGGTGAGTGTAGTTTCAGCCTGGTTACATGCTATCGACATCAGATATTGTACATAAGGAATCGTACACAGCAGTTCGGTTCGTGCGCTCAGGATATTCAGTCACCAGAGCAGTTGGCAAATTTACCAACTTGGACTTCACCTATGCTGTAGTGGTGTCAGTTGCTGGCCGATAACTGTCGTGTTCGTGGATTCTGTCCCGCAATGTTACAGGAAAATCCCACTATCAAAAAATTTCCCAAGAGCGCACAGTGACACTCCATGCAATAACATTAAATATCCTAGTTGAATCTTTGTTGATGTTCAATGCATTCATGCTTCGCACTCATTCATTGAACAAGCAGTTTGCCAACGACCTAGACAAACTTATTGAACGCAACAAGGTTGTGAACAGGTTAAAAGTGGAATCGCTGTTTGCCACCAAACTACTAATCACATTTGTGAACTAGCAAAAAGTTCTCAGTCTCCTCTACCAAAGATAGCTGAACTATTGAACACCTGTTTTGTTGTTTACGGAAGATGTCACATTTCACTTTTGTAGCACACCGCACTGTCAAATTGAAGGAATAGTGATGGGCAGCACTTTGGGCTCGGTACGTGCCGATTCCTTTAGTTAATGGTAGAACGAGGTATGTATAGAGAAATATCTCAAGTACCATATTACAAACGCTAGGGGGACGATATATTGGCATTTTGTTCACCGGAGAGTCAAACGCAGAAGTTGGTAACACAACTAAATGCTGCGCCTGCCAAGTTGCTGGTTTCCTGTGAGGCAGAGAAGCAAAACTGCCTATCGCTCTGGGATGTCTACATCAGCCGCAGAGTAAACGAGCAGATTAAAAGGTCTGTCTACAGGAAAGCAACATGAGCCGGCCAGTATTTGCAATCCATTGGGTTCACACCAATGTGATGCAAGCGGACGCACGTGAGAATGCCGGTTAGTCGTACCAGATGAATCTGTTCCGCTGATTAGCTGGCTAAGGAACTGCAGTTGATTATGATTACGCTTATTGAAAACAGCTGCCCCCGAATGTTCATCGAGAATCATAGTAAAGTGAGACCAAGGGACCTTATGTGCACGGTAAGCAAAAAGCCTGAGGTCACTGAACTGCCATTCAAAGATGACGTTCCTGGGCTGATCTGTTCCATACAGACTACTTACTATGCCGCCAACATCTTCTCATTAGTCGAACCCAAAACTATTACATCCTTCTGTGAAGGAGGTTCGACCTGTTGGCACCAAATCGCATTGGATATACCAGTTAGTATGTGACTACTGCACTAGTTACATAGGCAGAGCCGATAGGACATTGAATTTCCGAATGAAGGAGCATGTGCCTAAATGGGTTCAAAGTTCGAACGCTCATGAAACTGACCAAACACAAGCTGCCTGTCGGCGCCTGCTACTGGCCTCTGATCGGCCGACATTTATTGACTACAAGTCAATTAGTCGTGGCCACTAAGGCGTTCAAAATCCTATCACAGCACACCAATTCTCACCTTCTCTGTTTCGCAGAGATTGTTGCGATCAACCGGTTTATGCCAATGCCCTGCTTTCGGAAACAAGTATCGGTCAGCTTTAGACTGTCCTTAGAAGAGCGGTCATATCCAGGTCTCGCTTAATTTTTGTTGGTCTGTTTGTATGAATGCATGTTTGGTGGAAGAGCCTCTGGTACGCTGAGGCGTATATTGGCTAGATTCTGACAGACGGTCTACCCATTGCTGCTACTGTTGTACCCTTGGCTCATGCCCTGGATGTCTCCTCATGGCGACAGCTCTTCTACTAGCTAAGAGCCAGGACACCAATCCGCATGAGTCAGTGAGCGGACCATGGGCTAGGCCCGCTACCGTTGGTGTGTACATTTAATCGAAGGCTTTGGCTAAGGACCCGAGTCGTTCTCCTGTCAGGTGTGGGCGCCCTGCTAGTATCCTAGTCCATTTTTTTCGGAGGTTAGGAAGTGGTCGATGGCCCTCTTTCCGTAAAACCTAGCCACGAGAGACGACAGGTCCACGGGTTATAAGCTTACCACTCGATTGGCATATGGCACCAGCGTCACGCATTTTCTCTGACGGTAGTAGGGCAACTCCGGTTGTTCAGTGGCTTGCTAATGCTCGCCTCCAGCCAGACAGCTCCTGGTGTAATTGGTACAAACCCGCCATAACCTTCCTGCGTCTGGCCGTGATTACAGGTGCTTATCATACTACGGTAGCAAAACACAAATGCATTGTTCCAGTACCTCAAAGGCTGTGTCTAAGGCACTTCATGCAGATGCCAATTTCTCTCAGCAATCTCCTTGCTGAGCTGGAGCTGCTCCCAAAAGCGTTGTGGGTCAGGCTAATATGCCAAAGGCTCCGATTGGCGTCCCTCAAGCAAACCTCCGAAGCAGAACCACCACCACGCGCGGCATTGCCCACCAATGCAATCGTATTTCTGCGCGCGAAGCACACAACGTCAGGTGCTGGAACGTGCGCACACTACTGGACCGCAAATCGAGTGACCGCCCTGTGCGATGGATTGCACCTGTCGCGATGGAACTGGCGCGAATCAACATCTAAATTGTGGCACTCAGCGAAATCCGGCTCGCTGCGCAAGGTACGTTGCATGCAGCTGGTGTCGGCTATGCGTTCTATTGCGTACGAAAAGCCAACTGAGCAACACGTAAACTTGAATCGGAATCGCACCATTTGCTCGCCTCAATGGCCACCTTGTGGTTGAGCCGACTGGTATCAGCACGTGACTGAAGACTGTTCGTGTACGACTCGGAAGAGATAAGTTTCACACCTTATGGGCACGCAAGACGCGGTCATGTGTTATCCTGATGACACGCGTGATCAGTTCTATACTCAGCCTTCCTCCGTGATATGGTCTGTGCCGAAGAGCGACCGATTATTTCTGCTGGGTTGTTGTAAAGCCCTCGTTTGGCTTGATGCATTGTTGTGGATAGATGTCATCGGTCCGCATGGCATTGGTTCATCGATTGCGAATGGTGACAGGCTACTCTCTCTGTGTGTTACTCACGACCTGACGATCATGAACACTCGGTTTGCACTGAGTGCGAGTGTTATAGCTACTTGGGCACACCCACGGAGTGGTCACGCTTATCTGCTCGACTATGTCATCGTACGTCATCGTGAGATGCGTGGAGTGTGCATGGCACGTGTACTACGTGGAGCTGTGTGGCACTGATCACAGATTGGTGCGGACTTAAATGTACATATATTTTCAAAATTCTGCGTATTACACCCCCGCCGTGAATCGGCGTAAATTTAACATTCTCTCCCTCGGTACTGTAGAGAAATGTATTGAGCCAGAGGTGCTGACTGTACTCATGTGGGATGTGGAATGTATAGCCTCAGTGAGCGACCTGTGGCACCACTTTCGCAACCAGGTGACAGCTGCTGCGGTGGAGACTATCAGGCGCGCACACTGTAAGCGGCTCGATTGCTTTGATGAGAACAATGCGACAATTGACGTATTGACTTGTGAGAGGAATGCAGCATTTACTGCACATACGGCAGCCCCCAGTGACTTAGGGAAGCAGAGTCCGTTTCACGCAGTTTGACAACGACTGATTTGGGAGCTTCGTCGCATTAAATGTGCATGGTGGACGGAGAAGACGAGGCAGATGGAATGCTAAGCCGAACGCCGCCAACACAAGGAATTCTTTGACTCCTTGAAGGCGGTGTATGGCCCTAGATTAGGGACGCTGAAGACGCTAGTCGATGATTCTTCAGGTGATGCCTCCACAAAGACAGCAGACATAATGCACATGTAGCGAAATCACGCTGTCCCTCTCCTAAAAAAGCGTTCAGATTGAATGGCCTCCTTTTAGCTGTCTGAAACAGAACGATATAAAGGCGAGTTT